AGCAGACCATCTAGGCGTCTATGATTGTCTAAACTGCAATAACGGTTTAGAAAGGATTTGCTCGTATGATTTTCAGCTTTACTGATGGGATAAATTGTGTAACACTGTTACACCCCAAAGTTCCAAAGTAAAGGAAATTTCTCGATTAAATCCGTGACATAACCTGAAATATTGATGAATATCGTCAATAGATAAGTGAAGCTATAGTAATAAGCAAGTAAACCGGTTTATAACTCCACCAAATAAATTCCGTTATCAATATGTTCCTACGTAGAATTGAAAAGGTTGCAGCATTTTTATTTTCGAAATTTGACCATATGATATTAGTTTTAAAGAACGATTCCAGTTGAAACTATACTTTTGGAACGTGTGATATCTTGCAGGCTGAAAATGTATCCCACTACATGAGACAAAACACACAAGTGACGACTATTAACGATTAATAAAGTAGCTGTATTAACGAATAGCTAAGATCCACTATAAATACCAATATAAGTACAAATATAAATACAAATATAAATACAAATATAAATACAAATATAAATACAAATATAAATACAAATATAAATACAAATATAAATACAAATATAAATACAAATGTAAATACAAATAAATTAATATACAAATGGTGATCTACTAATTTTATGCTTCTGTTAACTGACCAGCTGTATTTACAGTAGTTACTCATGATATGTTCTATCGCGTCTGTATCTGCTCAATGATTGCCACGGTAAATACTCTAACTATGCTATAAAGACACACAAATATATAAATATCAATATATTGTATATGAGTATGTTGATAAATATATACTAATATTAAATATATAATGATAATGAATTTGTTATATACTGGCTGATCGTAAGACATTTTAATCAAGCATTATTAGCGAATTGGTAAAGAGTGAAGCATGTTCATACGAATATATATAAATGTATGTTTATGGTACTTATTATATCAATGTATCTTAGTATGATCAGTGAATCTTGTTGTACGGGCACTGTACTGCATAGCATTATTACTTAGTGTTAATATTCATTCCAAAGACTTTCACCATGCTAATTACAAAACAATTCCGCAGTTTCCGATTTTTTACAATTAATCAAACGGTAATTTGGAAGATGTCAATATGGTGTTTCAGCAATTTCACTAAATAGAATCCAAAACTCATCGTTGAAAAATGAATTGTAGAAATTTGTCGAATAGTAAGTAAGCAATAGTAGTAAGAAGGTAAGAGTGTCCAATATAGTAAGTAATAGTAGTAAGCAATGCTTGAATGTATTCGGTTATAGTTGCACCAAACCGACCTTAAAACTTCAAAAAGAAACGGTCTGATCTATAGCTCTATAAGTGTAGCAATCACTTTTAGTGTTGGCACCAGCGATTTAAAAGTAAGGGACTCAATACGTTTATAGTTATTTAAAAGTAAGGGACTCAACTTGATAGATTTAACCTCAGTTAGTTCTGTAACTTACCACGAAAGATATTTCTGTTCATAAGCTCTGGGATATATAAATTATAAGTGAGTATAAATCATGGATAAACAGTATGCATAAAAGGTAAAAGTAAATAGTTAATAATATAGTATAAACTTGTTTTGGGTTTACATCAAATTGTGCTGTATTAACTGCACATATCTGCGTGGTGTTTACTGCAAATTGTGCTGTATTAACTGCACATATCTGCGTGCTTGATATTTCTGCAGTACAGACGCTAATAGATAGTAAACGCAATGTGCTGTAACGTAACTTCGATCGCGACCACCCTATTTCCTAATTCCGTAATTGTTAATTAAAGTTTAAACACATAATATTTAAGTAACAATGATCCTTTGCGATAATCAATTCATTTTAAATTTTGCGAATAGTTACATGAATTATATTCCAATAACAAGGGCATTTCATATCAACCATCCAACACAAGCTTACTAAACAGTAAAACACGATCATTATATAACACGAAACACACAAATGAAAGACTTGGACAAGGAATGCAAGGGTTGATTGCGGAGGATAATGGCTCACGTCTCGGAATAATCAACCTCCGTTTAAAGAGTACACATAATTGCAGTCTGTTAAACGCCTGCTAAACGCCTGCTAAAGGCCTGCTAATTGTTACAAAACGATCACCACCATCATCTCCGATGCGCATCATTAATTCAGTACTGATTACATTTAATCCCCTTTATCCAGTGCTAATCTCGCACAGGAACATTTTTTGTGTGATTATACCGGAAGAGTATTTTTTGGATTACAAGAATGGAGATTTATTGTGTGGGATAGTGAGGAGCGATTAACTTAACAGATGGGTTTATAATTGCCGACTGGATCTGATTAGCGCGGCGCTCTTCCGCCTGTCTGCTCTGCTGCTGCCCAATCAGCACGGCCAACACTAATAATCATTGGAGACGGGCGGGGAGTTACAAGAGAGATGATTCTTCAAGAGATATTCATATCTTGGATAACAATTTGTAATGAAGTGTTGCCAATAAAATTGGGAAATGGAATATAACATGGTATATTATACTATTATACATTATAGATAGCATTGGAGATCGGATAAAAACCTGTCTATAGTGAGTATTATTCAGTACTACAGTAATAGTAATCTACTTATTGGTAGCTAATCTTAACGGACAGCACCATATAGAACAGTGGGGTCTGCTACTGAACAGTCCTGTTCATTTTATCTTCCCACGTCATACTGGAATGCAACCAGTTCATTTTCTGGAACACAGCAAAAATTAATACTTCGCAATAAAATCTGTATTAATATGAAATGAGTGAACAGTTTTGAAGTTGAAATGTGGTTTCAACTAATGTTCGTCACGTCGCGTTAAGCTTTGAAGAATTTAATGATATGTTGGATAATTATTATAAGGCCCCACTGTTAGTGTTACCACTGATGAGAGAAGACTATAATTGTTCCAAGCTATTCAGGTCCATCTTATGGATTATTACTATCAATATGTTGTCTTACCTGGCACACCAGTCCCTGTGTGCGGCGCTCTTTTCGTGAGAGGAGCAAGCAATAGACTAGCAAGCTAGGTAATATTTCGTCAGGGTATGACACGTTCAAACAAAAATCATATTACTACTACTAGATAAACGATATTATACTAGGTAAACGATAAAATTAAACTGGGAGGTTAAGAGATTGGGCCAAGGTTTTGCCAGAAAAACCTACAGTTTTGTTAAATTCAAAACTATAATTTAGACTTCCAATTTTTATGAGGATTGGAGTACGATTAGAAACAGTTCATGATATAGCGAAAACGGAAATAAATGTTTCAGCTTTCTGCTTTATCCAGTTTTTTATTAAAAAGGTGAAGCAACATTTTTATTTTTTAAAGTTTTTAAAAATCATATGCCGGGCGCACCTAAAAGACTTAAATAAAGAGGTAAGTGAAATGTTTTGAAAAACCTGTAGTACGCGATCGTAAATCGTAATTCATCGGTCTTCAATCTTCCATAGATTATATCTTGCAACATTGCAACATTGCAACATTGGGTCCAACAACGATCTATGTTGTATCCCGACCACTCTAGTTTGTGAATTATTGTGATTATAATATGACATTGTCTTCGAGGTGGGGACCCCAGGCTATAATGTTCATAAAAATCCGCCGAATAGAGATTCGGCGGAATGACAGGCTGAGCGCCGCCCAGTATAAGACGTGGCACAGAAGAGAAAAGCAGATTCGAGCAGTCTCATAGAGTATCGCTAGTTTTTTTTGTATTCCGTTGATTATCTTTAGATTATATTTATCGACCAGTTATTGTTCCCAACCAGATATACCAAACTCCGACTCTAAGTGATTAGGTACTTTATTCAAACACAACCAGTTAGTTAAGCTAAAGTCATTTTAATTTAGTAGACCCGCCTATAGTGTGCTCATACAAGATATAATAATTATGTTTTGTGAAAATGCGTGTAGATTGTAGCATCATGGTTTTGTAGAACACTGAACAGTAACACAGAATTAAAATGAATGTTAATCAGTGAAGTGAACTCTGTAGTCTGTAACCATGCCAACCCCGGAAACCAGATACCAAAACATTAGTACATTCATTGTATTACCGTCCGTGTCCCAAAGAGGAAACACCGTATCACACTAGCACACGACTAGCTGTGCAGATGTCAGCAATGTTAACGTTATCTAATATCGTAAATGTTAACGTTTCTTAACATTCCTTTAAATTTTTGGTCTCTCTTCTTTTGGATTCGTCTGTTTCATCCATTTAATTGACTTTGTTGCAACTTTATTTAGCAACTATCAACTTGTAAGCAACTCTTCTTATTCCCACTCTTTCTCAAAGTTTAAACTTATCTACCGTGTCTTGTCAGTTCATTGAGGGTATTCTAGCGTTTGTTTTTGAATGCTTGCTAAAGTCTCACGTTGTAACAGCAACTGTAAACAATAACCATGCAGACTGTATCTTTAAGGCTCTTATTTTGACTGAAGTATTGACAGTACTGAAAGATAGAACAATGTCGATTGTAGCTTCAAGATGACATGGTATTGATACGTGCGTAAGAGTAAATAAATAGTGCTTGCCTAAGGTATTTGTGAAAATCAAAATATTTGAATTAGCGATTTAGAAAGGGACAGAAGTTGCTAGACATGAACAATGTAACATGCTGAGCGGTTAAAATTTGTTATCTTGAAGTTCAATAGGAAACTTACATCACTCAACCACTTCATTCTCAACTGTAGATTTTATTTTTCATTTTTGTTTTGTTGACATTTTTCCAGGTGCCAAAATGTTAGCTTTTCACGTAACATGGTTATTAGTATTTATTTTTACCTACAATATTAACGAATAACAGATAAGTACTAATAGATAATATAAGTCTATATGCCATTAAGGTTGTTATTTTATTAGCATGTTTAAAAATGAAAAGGGTACATGCGAGCTTTTTACTTTTTTAGAAATACACAGTTTCTTACAGACTGTTTTGTTTTAACTTACAATCACCGATACTAAATATCTAGCTTGAAATGGTATCTTTAGCTGAGACGTCTATCAGTGGTGCTGCTATAGGTGCACATGATTCGGGTAAGTGTCTACAGTAAGGATTACTTTATCGGACTTTATTTAGGTGGACATTACGTGGACGGAAATAATTCTGGCTGGACATAATTATGAACGCCAAGAATTTTTGAACGTACAATGTACATCATGGTAGTCATCATGGTAGTCAATAGTCATCATGGTAGTCATCATGGTACAGTCATCATGGTAGTCATCATGGTAGTCATCATGGTAGTCATCATGGTAGTCATCATGGTAGTCATCGTGGTAGTCATCATGGTAGTCATCATGGTAGTCAATAGTCATCATGGTAGTCATCATGGTAGTCAATAGTCATCATGGTAGTCATCATGGTAGTCATCATGGTAGTCATCATGGTAGTCATCATGGTAGTCATCATGGTAGTCATCATGGTAGTCATCATGGTAGTCATCATGGTAGTCAGACTTTAATTTAGACGGAGCCCTCCAGTGTCCACGTAAAGCCTGACCAAATAAAGTCCGACAAGTCATTGAAAAGATCTAGACCTCGATAATAATAACCGGCTATTTCTGCACAACTGCAAAATTTGTTACTTTCAGCAACGATAGCAAATTTCTTTGCAAAAGAAAAGGACGTTTTAAAACAGGAGATCACAAAAAAGGATGACCAGATAGATGAATTAAAGCTTAAAGTGTATCGATTGGAAAATGAAGTATCTGCATTGAAACAAGATATCAAGGTTTGGCTTTTTGCCACGTAATTTCACTGAACATATAGAAACATATTTCATGAGGTGCACCCCTACTCACACTCATAGCAAGACACTCAGACTATTCTGATTTTCCAAAAACCATACTTTAATTATAACTAATTTCCAAAGAGTACAGCTCCGAAGAGGAAGACAAGCAAGAGTTCAAACCATGATGAACCAGCGGAGCTACCCTCGCTTATAGACACAGTATACGGGAAGAAAGAGAACAACACTGGCAATGGTAATGTATCCACTGCAACACCGCCTAATGTATCCACGGAGACTAAGAAGAAAGTTAATGTAAAGAAAAAGAAAACTGGTGAGCTTTTTTTGGCTGCATGTATTATCTTATTCAAATTCAGTTTTTCTACATTTATTAACTTTAAGCAATAACTTTATTACTCATCTGCTGTTAAAATTCATAGAAAGGGTTCCATTTCGATTACTTATGAACTTTTAGTTTTAGGCTAAAACTAAAAGTTCATAAGTAATCGAAATGGAACCCTTTTAGCAAACGAATGTTTCTCTGGACAGGTTTCTATTTCTCTTTGAATTATAAATTCTCCGTATTCTAACTAAATATTCTAACCAGGAGTAAAAAGAGGCTCAGTAGCTAGTAACGGACTGAAAAGTAACTCAAGAGTCAGCGTGACCAGCACTACTACACCGGCAGTGGTCGTTCCAAATCCTACCTCAGTGTGTACAAAGTGTTCCTCCTTAGGGGTCAGTAGTATTTATAGCAGTGTGTACAAAGTGTTCCTCCTTAGGGGTCAGTAGTATTTATAGTAGTGTGTACAAAGTGTTCCTCCTTAGGGGTCAGTAGTATTTATAGCAGTGTGTTCAAAGTGTTCCTCCTTAGGGGTCAGTAGTATTTATAGTAGTGTGTACAAAGTGTTCCTCCTTAGGGGTCAGTAGTATTTATAGTAGTGTGTACAAAGTGTTCCTCCTTAGGGGTCAGTAGTATTTATAGCAGTGTGTACAAAGTGTTCCTCCTTAGGGGTCAGTAGTATTTATAGTAGTGTGTACAAAGTGTTCCTCCTTAGGGGTCAGTAGTATTTATAGTAGTGTGTACAAAGTGTTCCTCCTTAGGGGTCAGTAGTATTTATAGTAGTGTGTACAAAGTGTTCCTCCTTAGGGGTCAGTAGTATTTATAGCAGTGTGTACAAAGTGTTCCTCCTTAGGGGTCAGTAGTATTTATAGTAGTGTGTACAAAGTGTTCCTCCTTAGGGGTCAGTAGTATTTATAGTAGTGTGTACAAAGTGTTCCTCCTTAGGGGTCAGTAGTATTTATAGCAGTGTGTACAAAGTGTTCCTCCTTAGGGGTCAGTAGTATTTATAGCAGTGTGTACATAGTGTTCCTCCTTAGGGGTCAGTAGTATTTATAGCAGTGTGTACAAAGTGTTCCTCCTTAGGGGTCAGTAGTATTTATAGCAGTGTGTACATAGTGTTCCTCCTTAGGGGTCAGTAGTATTTATAGCAGTGTGTACAAAGTGTTCCTCCTTAGGGGTCAGTAGTATTTATAGCAGGAGTATTAGCTTATTAGCTTATTAGAGTATTAGAGTATTAGAGTATTAGAGTATTAGAGTATTAGAGTATTATAGTATTAGAGTATTAGAGTATTAGAGTATTAGAGTATTATAGTATTAGAGTATTAGAGTATTAGAGTATTAGAGTATTAGAGTATTAGGGTATTAGAGTATTAGAGTATTAGAGTATTAGAGTATTAGAGTATTAGAGTATTAGAGTATTAGAGTATTAGAGTATTAGAGTATTAGAGTATTAGAGTAGTGGAGTATTAGGGTATTAGAGTATTAGAGTATTGGAGTATTAGAGTATTAGAGTATTAGAGTATTAGAGTATTAGAGTATTAGAGTATTAGAGTATTAGAGTATTAGAGTATTAGAGTATTAGAGTATTAGAGTATTAGAGTATTAGAGTATTAGAGTATTAGAGTATTAGAGTATTAGAGTATTAGAGTATTAGAGTATAAGAATATTAGAGTATTAGAGTATTAGAGTATTAGAGTATTAGAGTATTAGAGTATTAGAGTATTAGAGTATTAGAGTATTAGAGTATTAGAGTATTAGAGTATTAGAGTATTAGAGTATTAGAGTATTAGAGTATTAGAGTATTAGAGTATTAGAGTATTAGAGTATTAGAGTATTAGAGTATTAGAGTATTAGAGTATTAGAGTGGCACTTTAATTTTCTTGCTCTGCTTATACAATGAAATATTATAAACGGAGAGTGCTGACCTTCATTAGGTAACACAACAACCCTATACCAACTTACTAATACTCTAATACTAATACCACTGGATTTCAGGTGCTATCAGAACAATTCCCGAAGATCAAGCTAAAAACCTATGTTAACTGCAAAAATAAATTTGAGCTTGCAGATGTTAATGGGGACGGTGTAAGTAGAACTTTTCTTCGTCTAAATTATTGATTGCTTAAGTATAATTCGCACTTATCAAATTGGCTTTTTTTAGAGTAACTGAGGATCAATAAAGATATCACACGTGCACTCACAATTTATTGAGGATTAGTTCAGATTTATGAAGTCCAGTATTCGAAGTTAAACCTCAAGGAATTTAGATTTTAAAATTTAAACCAAGGCCCAAGTATAAACTTATATTAATGAAAGAACAAACAAAAGCTTAAAATTTTGCCTCCGAGTAAAATTGAGTCATTTATACCTTGATAATTGACATTAATTAATAAAAGAACATAATAATGTGAATATACAGACTGTTGACTCAGAAGAGCTGTCTACCATTTTGGAAAGTGCAGGACTCTTCTTTACATCATCCCAAATACAAGACATCCTCAGTAAAGTTGACAATGATGACGACATTGCTCTGGACTTCGTTGAAGTTTTGCAGGTACTCTAAATTACAAGGAAACAGCCGCGGTAAATCGGGGTTTTGTTTGTTCACGTTATGTATGTTAAGCTAATTAGTATTACCACGGAAAATAGTAGTTTTACAGCAATGTATTATAATAATACAGTATTATTCAGAAGTAACAGATAATAACACGTTCATCCTTTAGGGAGGAGTTCGTCTCATTTGTAACCGGATAATTTTGTTTTCAGGTGGTAAGTACGTCTCATTTGTAACCGGATAATTTTGTTTTCAGGTGGTAAGTACGTCTCATTTGTAACCGGATAATTTTGTTTTCAGGTGGTAAGTACGTTAGAAGAAAATCCAAACAGAAGAGCAGATCTACCTAAAAGTTTGAAAGACAATCAAAGCAAGGTGTGCTCAGTTATGTGAAGCTTTATGTTCACCTTGTGTCAGTTACCATTGGTTACTATTGGTTACCATTGTTGGTTACAATCAATTACTGAAGTGAAACTTCGACCACGTTTGTGACGGGCTGGACAGAAGAGCCATTGTAGAGTTTAGCTTATTATTTTAGAGACTGTAGACTGTAGAGTGTAGAGTACTGTAAATATAATTTAGCAGGATCATGGTTGGACATTTATGGAAGACTGAATTAGGATAAAGTAGACAAAATTCGACTTTTCAATATTAAAACAATGATATAATTTTGTTTATAATACAAACATTTTACTGCACTTGATACTTCATATTTCATGTTTTCGTTATCTAAATAGACAAAACAATATAATCGCACAATCAAATTAATGAGTTACTAGTTGTACTGAATTTCTATAAAAAAATAATTCCCAAATAAGCTATTTAAAAAAGATTTGATCTATTTTTACATAAAATTGCACAGTTTTCCAATTATGCAAGTGAAAGTGTCAGTGAAGCAGTCAGTGCTCGTTGAGCTCAAGCTCAGAGGCGTCATGGAACAGTTTGACTTTTCCCCACTTTTGCTTTGGCTTAGTCTCCGTTTTCTTTTTCACAACCTCCACCATTCCCCCTCCTCCAGCCGTCCCAATGGTCTCCATAAACTTCACATACTCCCTCCTCGCTAGCTCATCCTTAACAGAGGGTGTAGTCTCTGGAACCATCAGCCACATGATTACCACTAACGACAATATGATATGTTCCAGAGACATCATAGTAGTAGCCACTGCTAGTCCAGCTTCCGGGGCTACAACCTGAACATGATCACTCCCGGACTTGACAGCATGTTCCGCAGACAGAGCTATTACTTGGAAGAAAGATGGAGCGTACGTCCGGAGCTGTCCGGAGGTGAAGCAGAAGATGTAGAGGTTAGTGAAGACTGATAAGAGGACAATGCCTTTAACCAGGACCGACCACACTCCGATATCAGTGACTCGGTGTACTGTGGGACGTTTGGTAATGTAGCTCAGTTTGAAGATGTCAGAGTACATTTCCAGGATGTTACAGATGACAGATAAGGGTGCTGCCATAGGGAAGGCTCCTGCAAATAATGTCACGTAACCCAGCTGTATGATCATTTCAAGATAGTCGTCAAACTGTTCATACTCGCTTTTGTCGTAGTCTTCGTCGATAGCATTATCAGAGGGTAATTTGTTTTCTTTCTTAGTCATGGTTCTGGAAGCTTTTCTCGTGATGAAGGGGATGATGGTTTCACAAGACAGTCTCCTAACGGAATCACAGGTGTATAAACTCACAAGGTTTCTACGTAACAGTACAATGTCTGCTTCTATAAAAGCTAGATAGAATAAGGCAACGTAGCAATCAAACGCTTCGAAAAAGAATCTCTTGATGTAGAGAGCATTCTCGTGTTCTGTTGGGGATCTGTGGTTCTCCCAGTCAGTGAGTATGTTGGCTACCACTTGGTACACTTTGTTAAGCACCTGTATGGTCACTATATGAAGAATGACTGGAACCTTCAAGAGAACAAACGGCATTGGACCCTTGCCAGAGCGGTCAAAGTATTGTCCCTCATCACACAACCAGGAGATGCTCGGGAAGAGGAGATACTCCCTGCTGTATGAGAACTTGTGGATGTATCCTTGCAGATTCAAACTAACTACCATGACAAAGAAAGCGATCATGAGTAGAAAGAGAGTTACACAAGCACTGATACAATACCTGAACAGTCTCTCCTGAGAAGAGAAATACCTCTCCGGCATACCAGTAACAGGACTAATCCTCTTCCGTCCAGTGAAGCCAGGACGTACTTCTCTCCTCCACTGGACAGCACTGATACCCCAGTCACAAGCCAGACTAGCACACTTCCTCTCCCAGCTCTTAGCGAACAGTACCCCCCAGATCACCACAAATAGAGTGTAGACAGGGGTGACTAGGGAGTTGTCCACGTTAATGTCAGGGTGCAGGTAATGGTAGAGAGACACAGTGAACCCAGCCACCGCGGGGAGGAGCAACCAGGAGATGTAATTAGTTAACCAGGCAAAGTAAAGGGCCACATTGGACCCGAAGTAGTGTTCCACGAGATCACAGAACGACCCTTCAAGGGGACCAGCGTGCCAGGAAGCTGTGCACTCTGCTGAGCTGGAGTGGAGGGGCCAGAAACTGTACCATTCTACCCGCTCTAATGCTAGAATATGAGGGGTCGCTCTTCAGTAGTCCACACTTGGGCCTCGGGAAGAAGTCAGGGAGGGTTTTCATTTTGATTCGCTTCAGAACCTCGCTGGTTATGTAAGAGAGTTCGGATGGTTTGAAGATTGATTGGGTGGATGTTTTGTTAGTGTAGGGTGGCTGGTATTCTTTGTGCTTTCCACTCAGATACTCACGTTTGAACCCCTTTAAATCCCGTTTTAGAAACCCCCACCTTCTGCTTCCTTCGTTATCAGCTCTTCTGGGGCTGTGACAACAATGCTGAATAATTTGCATTTTCCTGGATGGTCATGACATGACATGTTTCAGTCCGTTATCTTGGATTCTTCCTTTCACAAAATCCAAAAGGGTTTTGATCTTTTGTCTTTAAGATAACAACATAGTCCACCCATTTGCGTTAAAAGAGTTGCTAACACCTGCGGTATGACGTTAATCAATTTATCAATTAATTAATTACATTAATCAGTTACATATTATTATGGTACACTTACAGATGCGGATTCTGCTGGGGGGGGGGGGGGGGGGTGGGGGGGGGGGGGGGGGGGGGGGGGGGGAGGAAATTTTTGAAGTGGACAAGAAAAAACCAAAAAACACCTTCCGTTTTAAATAAACACATCAATAAAAAAACCCCCCCGAATTAAAGGTTATCTTTTTAGCATCCAGAATAATAAATTCCCCCCCCCCCAACGTACTAGCCCAAAAAAGCATGAAATGAGGGCACCCCATAAATTCCGGTATCAAAGTGATTAAGATACCGAAAAGACCCACATCGGTGAAACCCAAACCCTTCACTTTTTAAAATTAAACGGAAGCAAACAACCCTCAAAAAAAACCAAGGTTTTGGGAAACTTGGAGGGCGATGTCCAAAGTACACCCCTGGAGAAAGCTATCTAATTTCAAGTTTACAAAATTTAAAAAATTATTATAGCATTTACTACTTACGTAAAAAGGACAGCAAGCTTTTAAAGTACAAATAACGAATAGTTTCTAAGATGGTAAAGGCATGATAATGAGTGACATGTCGAAAAAATACACTCGACACTATAACTTTTGTGCAACACTTAAAGGTTCTTAAAGTATTTAAGGGTTAATGTAGCAATTAGCTTTTTAAAAAAAAACAATAAATAACCACCAAAACCCCAAAATTCTTTATTTAAAAGTTTTTAAGCCACCCTGCCACTCCTGCACAAAAAAAAGTTAAAGTTATGTAAAAAGCGAATTAGCTTTTTAAAAAAAAATGTTTCTTTTTTTATAAACCCGTCCACCACTCGATTGGGAAATTCCAACTCAAGGGTTTTGGGTGAAAATAGTATTTAAAATAAATAAAAAGTATTGAAAATAGAAAAGCGACAGAAAATAGGCTTGTTTGGCCCAAAGGTAAAAGGGAAAATTTTGATTAAAACAAGGAAATAATAGGGAAAAAAGTTAAAAATGGAAAAGCTAACATTTTTTGTTTAAAATTAAAAGGTAACCATGGGTGTTTAGGTGCAACTCAAAACTTATGCTGTGCAAAAAAAATGGCGAAATTTAAATGTAACTTTTAAGCTTAAACACAACTTTCACGTTTCTAATGAGATCGGAGCGATTGAAACAAAATTAACAATTAAAAGTAGTTTTTAACTTTAAACAGGAGATTGGAAAGAAAAACAGTGATATTTTCTGACAGGGATATCAGCCCCTATTCCGACCACAAGGACCGTATTTAAGTTTTTTAATTAGCGACAGAAATTTCTTTAACATTTTTTAAAAAAAATTGTTTTTAAAATTTAAAATGTTTGGGGAAAATTTTTCACCCCTCGACTTTTCACCCAACCAGGCCCCTGAAAAAAAGTATTGGTACGACTGCAGTGGAGAAAAGGGGGGACTGCGTGGGTTGGGGGATGGTGGAATGGGGGCTGCGTGGGGATTTTTTTGGGGGGGGTGCGGGAGGGTGGGGGACGCAGGGAGATGGGGGACTGCGGGGGGAAGGGGGGGATGCTTGGAGAAAGGGGGGGGAAGGGGGTGGGGATGGGGGACTGCGGGGATGGGGGGGGGGGGGGGGGAGGGGCCTGGGGGGGGGACCCGGGGCCCTTTTTGGCAACAAACAAAAAAAACTTCGGCCCCCTAAGGGCCCCCTAATAACTTATAAAAAAAACAGCCGAAATGGTCACATTAACCCATTTGGGGGACGGTTTTTAAAATTTCCGATTTTATGGGGTTTTAAAAAAAACTAGGCACTTTAAAAAGCAAAAATGATATAAAAAAGCAACCCGTATCTCGTTTACTTTTAAAAAATACAGGGTTGGGTCGCATACGACCACTCTCCGGGGCCAAAAGCCCATCACGGTTTTTTCCTTTAAACTTCTGAAAAAAAAGACGTTTGGAAAAAATAAAATAAAAACAAAATTAAAAAAAATGGTCAATACGTTGACCCTTTAAATTTTTAAAAATAAAGAATTTGGGGCATTAAAAAGGCCCCCCTCGGGGTCACGGTTTTTTAATTTTTCTACAAATTTCCCCTGTAAAATTCTTGAAAAACAGCCCAAACATTAACATCAAATTCAAAATCGCCTCTCAGCAAGTAAAACCATAAACTGCAAAAATCGGTTTTAAATTGGGTCATTAGCGACCCCCCAAGACCCCAAAAAGATTTAAAAAATATAATGTTCAAAATTTTTTTCAAAAAATTAGTAAAAAACAAGTTTAAATTTGGTCATTACCCCTGCGTTGTTTAAATTTTAAAATCGACAACTGGGCAATAAAAGACCCACTCGGAAGTTAACCACGACTTTTAAATTTTCATATCAGTTGTTTTAAAACCCTCAAGAAAGACACTGTGGGCTTAATTTTCCCCGCAAACCCCGGGGGCTACCCTTAGCCCTTCCCAGATCTGGATCTCACGGTAATCTGCAGTCACTCACCCCAAAGAGTCAGCTGCGAATAATGGGCAGAATTGGGATGAATTTGGAGGGGATTTATCAGCTGTTAGTACAAACCCAATGTCGTGGACAGCAAAAAAACATGCCTATCTTTCCCGATTTCCCAGAACGCCAAGAAGAAAAAATACAACTGCTGGGGGTTCAGATTTCAGGGGGCTGCATCTCTCTCTTTGCAGCCCCTTTTTTTTACTTCTTAGGGCCGCAAAATTACGTAATCACTTATTTACAAAATTTTTTAGCCCCCCCCCCCCCCACCACATAGCTATTTTGTCAAAAAAACCAACTTAAAACTTTGGAAACTCCCCTCCCCTTCGGGCCCATTTCGTAAAAACTTGTTTTCGTTTTTAAAGCTGCCTCTTTTCGGGGGGTTTGTTTCCCCCAAAAGGGTGTTTCTAGAAAGCGGTTTTCAGCACCCCCCCCCAAATTGGGGGGGGGGGGGGGGCTTTTTTTTTGTTTTCACAGGCGGGGGGAATTTAGGTTGGGGAGGGAGTTGTTTTTTATTTTGTTCTTTCTAGGAAGAAAAAAAACCTTTTTTTGGCATTTTGGGGTTTTTGGGTTTGAATAGCAATTTGGGCCACCGTTTTTTTCGTATTTTCCCAAGGGGTTTAAGATTCTCGTAATTCGCAGGGGATTTTTTCTTGAGTGACATGACTATCACCGTGGGCCCTGGGTCTCAAGCGGTGGGTTGTAGCGGGCGTTTTTTCCCGATTCCAATTGCGAAAAAGGGGAACAAATCTAATAAGCAAAAAACAACACGGCATTACCTAGAATTGGAACGAGGGGGCCCTTCCGTTCAATTTCCACCCCCCATAGTATTAAGTCGGACGCGCCCAGCATTGCAAGTAGTGTTTTTTTTTTTCGCGCTCTTTTATGAGTGTGACGGGCCCCCTTTTTGGCCCTGGATCTCAGAAAGGGGTATGTCAGCCACCCCTGTTTTTTCGGGAATTAAGACCCACGGTGCTTTTTGATGGGGGGAAAAAGCATGATACGATAATAATTGATGAGGTGGTTCCATATTCGTGTGGGTCGTTATTGACCCAGTTGATCGATTTTAAAAGTTAAATCAACGTACAGGAGTAATGACCAAGATATAACATGTTTTTTATACTAATATTTGTAAAAGTTTGACAACATTATATTTAATTAATCAATTTTGTGGTCCTAGTGGGTCGCTAATGACCCATTTAACCGATTTTTTCGCAGTTTATGATGATAATCACTTGCTGAGAGGCGATTTTGAACTTATGATGTCATGCTTTAGGCTGAATTCAAGAAGTTACATGGACATATGTAGTAATAAGCAAGTGAGCCGAGTGGGTCGTTAATGACCCAAATTCTTTATTTTTAAAAGGTTAGAGTTACACAGTATTGACCATATGTTTTTAACTTATGCTACAGTTTTTATTTTATCCTAACGTCTTTGTTTCAGAAGTTAAAGCCGAAAAACCGTGATGGGTCGTTTGCGACCCGGACGAGTGGGTCGTATGCGACCGCAGTTAGTAAACAGCGTCTAGCTCTGTTTGTGAACATTTGATTATCACGGGCTTTTCATATGTCTCAAGGAAATCGTTGCCCGCAACTATTTTGTCCTCAACAAAATAAGCCTACATAAAGTTTTAATGTCCCAATCAAGGCAAGAAGTAAAGTGAAATATTTTCCAATTATGACGACTAATTAGCCTAATTATTTAGTTGTTAGTAATTAATTGGGTCTCGACTGGAAAGTCAATAATGTAGCCCAATAAATTTTGAGCATATGTGCGAAAGATTCGTTGCGTTTAGTATTATGGTTTGTCCTCTATAGCCTCTAGAAAAGGTGGGTCGTAAACGACCCTATCGTCCCTAATGGGTTAAGCCCCATGAACGTGTGGCCATGTCACAGTGCGTGGCTTTGTATTGACTCAGCTTTTTGTTAAGTTCGCCCATTACATATCGGGCCCGTAACACACGAAAACCCTAGTGCTAACCCATGGATTAGCACATTCAGTGAATGCCACGTGACTTGTCAAGATGGTCCGTTCTAATTCATATTGTGACCACACGCGATGGTCTCACGAACCTTACATTTTGACAAATAACCTGCCCTCGTAGCTTAAGTGTGTGGCTCTTTATTAATTTACACTATAAATAGTGAGTTATATTAATGCGCTCGTTCAACTTAAAGACTTAATAACTTATGAAAACTTAATTACTTATTACTTAATTACTTATTACTTTATTAGCAGTAAAGGAGGTAGCAGTTGCCAGATCACTTAAAGCCACTAAAACCCAATAAAACCCAATAAAACTAGGCTCAATGGAGGCTGATGACGTGAGAATGTCTGTGGACTTGACGATGTTATGAGTAGAGTCCCAGGAATTCTGTATACGATCCTCAACATAGCACAGTAAATCGTGCGGCAATGAGGAGAGGCCATGGGATTAGTGCTTTATATTATCTTATTAATATTATCGGGGCGTGCTTTTCTCTGCTCTACACTACTGTACACTTTTCA